CCCTGACCAAAGGCCCCCGAACCTGCGCCCCACGGGCGCCTCTCGCGCCGCCTCACTTTTCTCTCCTCCCCCGCCGCGGCTGGTTTCGGGTACCTCCCACCTCGTGCGGGATGGACCTCGCCTCGGCTCGGCGGCCCCGGCGGCCCAACCGGTCGGCGGCGGAACGCCGCGCGCAGCAGGCGCGGGCGCACGGTCGCGCCGCCCTCCGCCTCCTGGCCGCCTTCGAGGATGTGCGTGGCCATCGTGGGCAGTCGCTCACCCTTCTGGGCGGGGCGCTGCGCGACGCTCTCTCCGCCCGCCTTCGCCGTGACGATGCTGGCAAACGCGGTGCTGGCGAAGGAGACGGACAGCCTGGGACGCCGCATGCCCGACGCCGCGGCCGACCTCGACGCCGCGATCCTGGAGGCGCCCAGGGTCCCCAGCGTTGCGACCGAGCTCGGTGCCGAGCTGGAGCCGCTCTGCCCCGCGGCCGATGTGGCGAGCGTCGCCGCCCCGCCCGCGACGGACGCGGTCGCGGCCGCCGTGCCTGTCATGGGGGCGCCGCCCCTCCCGAGGCCAGGCCTTGACGGCGACGCGAGTTCGACGGAGGACCGCGCCGTTCTTCGGCGGCTGGCGGAGGAGACGGCGGCAGCTGCGGCCGCGGGCATGGCCGCCCCCCCGACGCCACGGGAACTCGCGACGCCTGAGGCCGAGGCACGGGAGCCGCAGGCGGAAGCCTGTCGGTGGATGCGCGGAAGGGCCCCCCGCGGGCTTGCCCGCTCCCGCCCGCGCGGCCGAAACCGCCGCAGGACCCTCAGCGGCTGGCCAGGCCAAGGGTGATGCTCGAGCATCGCGCCCTTGCGGCCGCCGTGGCCGAGCTCCGCGCTGCCGAGGCTGCCCTTTCTGCCGCGGGGCTCCCAGTTCCTCCTCGGCCGCCTGGGCAGCGAGCTGGGCTAGAAAGGTGAGTGCGGCTCCGTGGATCGTCGGCGCCCCTCTTTTCCGACCCATCAGGAGGGCTGCGGCGGGCCTGGCACGTGCGCCCGCTAGGCCGCCGGGTTCGGACGTCTTCGACCCGTTCGACTTGGTGTTCCTCGTCGGCCTCGCGGCGGGGCCGCTTTGCCACGTCCACGGGCGGGCTGGGCGCGAGCCCCCGCAGCGCCGCGAGTTTTGCGCGCCGCTTCGTCCTCGCGGGCGGCTGAGGGCGGCCGGAGCGTACTTGCCCGCTTTTCTGCGTTCTCTCATTCTTTCCCCTTGTTTTTGCACTGGTCCCTCCCTCCCCCCTGTTCCCTCATCCCTGCTCCTCCCTGCTCCCTCCCTTCTCCCTGCCAGTTCCCGCGTCCTCCCTCCTCCCTCCTCCTCCTCCTCCTCCTCCTCCTCCTCCTTTTCTTCCTCCTGCTCCTCCTCCTGCTCCTCCTCCTCCTTCTTCTCCTCCCCCTCATCCTCCTCTACCTCCTCCTCCTCCTCCTCTTCCTCCTCCTCCTCTTCTCCTCCTCCACTCCCCCCTCCTCCTCCTACCCCTCCTCTTACTTCCCCTCGCCCCTTTTTCACCTCCTGCCTCGCTTCGCTTCGTTCGGGGGTTGGCGCGCGCCAGAGGGGCCCTTCGCCAGAACAGCAGCTTCGGGGCGGGCCCTCGGAGAGAAACTCCGAAGGCTTCCCGTCCCGATTCTATTCGGTTTGGGTTGCCGACTTGAGGATCCGATTTCTCACGGGGGGCCTGCTGTTTCTGTCCCGGCACGGCTGCTGATTTCCGTCATTTCGATCGCCGATTCGGTTCATCGGTTCGATTATGGGTTTTCTTGCCCTTCCCTCGTCACGACGGCTGGATTCGCTTCGACTGTTTTCTCGGAACGCACCCTGGGACAGGTCCGTGGATTAGCGGTGTGGATATTTCTCCACTTCCCTAAGCAATGGCTGGCGCGTTTGGATGTGCCCCCGCCCGCAGGCAGCCTCCTAGCGCCGCGCACCGAAGGTCCCCCTTGCGTAGGGTCATTCATGCGCGCAGCCGCAGGGGACGTCCCAGCCGCTGTCTTGGTTTTGACGTCGGTGTTCCGACATACGTAGTCCTTCCCAGGAGCAATTCAGCGAGAGTTAAATCTTGGAAGGGAAATAAATACAGATGCGACGTAGAATGACGATCCAGTGCATTCAAGGACAGGTCGTAGCCCAGAGGTGTGCACTGATGGCTGACGTCGCACGCCCCCCCCCCCTCCCCAAACGTGCCAATGAGACAGCAGGGCTCGCACGGCATGGCAAAAGGTTATCACACCTGAGCGACGCAGAAAAACGGGATCTTGGGCGCTGGCATTGGCGCGTAATCTGCCCGCGTCAGGTCGCGCGTAAGCGCCCTTGTCTCAAGGGCGGCCCGCCTAAGCCGCGGCGCGAAGTCTCAGAGGACTCGGAAAGCTTCCCGATGTCTGAGAAGTTTTCCAAGCCTTCTCCAGAGACAGACGGCGTCCTCAGAAGACAAGGGGGACTTCTGAGAAACCCAGCCGCCTTCGAGAAGGCCGGCCCCCTCCGTGTCACACCCCCCCTCCCGGCGCGCCGCCGAAGAGAGGCGAATAATTTGACAAAAAGACAGGTAACGCTCGCACCCATACGCCGCCGCCGCCGAGGGCCTTTGCCTTTTTCTCGATGTCGCCCGCTCCGCCCCCATCCTCCATCCCCTTGTGTTCCTCCAGTCCCCTCCCTCGTTGTTCCTCCCCCCGCTCGACTGAGACCGGGTAGCACGAATGACCCCAGAGGTCTCGACCCCGTCCCTGGGACCAGCTCTTTTGCTCCGCGGCCGTTCTTGAGGATCCCAGGCTCCGAAGACGGCCCCTGAGACTTGGGCCCCTTCCATTCGGAGTCAGTGTCCCCCCCTTCGGTCTTGGCCTCGTCCACTCAGAGTCAGTCCCCCCCAGTTTCTCCCCCCACCGCAGAAGGACCTGAAGAACAGCGAGACCCTTACAGTGGAGACCCATGCCAAGCAACACCCTGCTCGCCTCCAGGGTGCCCTGGGTTTCTTGGGGTTCGATGGTTTTGCGATGTAAATCGTGACGTTCCCACACCAAGCACCCACGGACACCCTTGGGGTCTCAGGGTTGGGTTTCTTGTGGCAGGTTCCTTGTGGTCGGGCCTCCACTGCATTAGCCCAAGGCGGGCCTTGCTTCAGCGCCTGGACCCTCGAGAGTTCGGAACCAGAAATCGATGTGCTCCAGCACGGGCGGAGAAGTTTCTGCCCTCCCCCCCCGGCGCGCCGCCCCCCCCACCGTGCAGGAGCCCATCCCGGACGGGCTGGCCCGGAGGTTCACCGCCACCGGCGTGCCCGGGAGGGCCGGGCCGCGAAGCGGCCCCGCGGACGACGGCAGTGCCACAGCGCCACTGCACGGGGAGCAAAGACGCATCGCCGTCGTCGTCGTCGTCGTCGTCGTCGCTGCGTCTTCGTCGTCGTCGTCGTCCGCCTCATCGTCGCCGCCGCCGTCGTCGTCGTCGTCCTCGGCATCGGCGGTGGCGTCGTCGTCCGCCTTTGGCGACGCGTCCAGAAAACCCAGGGGCCTCCAGGTACGCATTTGATTCCCTGGGACTTGCAGGGATTTCGGGAGATTTCTGGTCGTCGTGGTCTGCGCCGTCCTCCGCCTCGTCGTCGTCGTCTTCGGCCTCGTTGTCGTGAGCCTCCGCCCTCCTACCCCATCCTGGACATCCTCTCTGACTCATCTTCCTCGTCCTCGTATATACCTCCGCCTCATTCTCAGAGTCTCCTCATCCTCGCTACCTCTTCTTCCTCCTTGACCTCATTGTCCTCCTCGTCCTTTTCTGTGATCATCTTATCCTCCTTTCCATCCTCCTCCCCCTCGCCTAACTCGAACGGTAGGTCACCTCTTCCTTATGTTTGGTGCGGGAGGGTCTTGTTTTCCGTTGTCATTTGTTTGAAAGGCATGCTTGCCGCGCCCGCTGTAAGACACACGTTGCTCCTAGACGCCGCTCTACATCTCTGGGAAACAAGCTTTCCCACCGTTTTACTGTCTTGGCTGGTCGTGGAGCACATCACTCCGTGATCCACTCCAGCCATGGCCCGCGCGGCAATGCCTCGCGGTCCAGGCGGTCGCTCTACATGAACATCCACGTCGAGCCGTTTTACAGACCGCTTCACGTTCGTGCCGTGGTTCCACTTCGCCGCGGCAGGCGTCACGCCTCTAGGGGTCGTCGGGGCGGCTCCCGCCAAACCGCCAGAACGGGCGGAGCAAAACACGCACGAGCACCTTTTCTCAAGGATTATGACCTCAAGGACGGCGCTCCCCGCGCCCCGGATTCCCGACTCGTGCACTTCCGAGTTGTGTTCGAGATGCTCGGGGGCCTTTCATCGCCACAGCATTCGCCTGTGAGTGCCTCCGTCAGCGTCAGACCGTCGAGCGGTCCGACTTCCACATTCGCGGCGTCGGCGCACGGTTCCAGAAACCCGACGGGGGAGAGGAAACGGACGCACCGCCCTCATTGCATCCGCATGTGGGTGTAGCCGACCATGTCAAGCAGTCGTTCGATCCGACGCTCACATCGTCGGCTTCGGTAGCGCGTCCCGAGCTCTCCGCAACTATGTTGTGGAAGGCCGGGGAAGCGCGCGCAGGCAATCACGGAAATACAAAGGAGGGTCGGGCAATTATGTTGCCATATTTCTAGGGACCGTTGCACAAGCTAGTGGCTCCTCGTTATCGGCTCTCTGGGGCAGGGCCCTCGACGTTACCTATTCGCTCCATGGTTCCTGGCAGACCTGGATCTCGATGCATACTTTTCTTGACTGTCATACAGATGGCAGCGCTGAGTACAGTGGCGGTACGACGCACGAAGAGTTCTCTTGCCACTATGCGATATGGTGTTATGAGTGTCGTCCGCACGGCATTCAGCCGACAAAAGAGAAGACCCAATACGGCGATGAGGAGGAACTCGCCTGGGACAGATATTTTCGAAGGCTTCGAGGATGACTACCAGACAGCGCCGTTGGCGGGTGCCAAGAAAGTCGCGCCTCCTCGACACCTGAAGGGGGGCCCCACGCTGGATGGAAGTCCATCGGAGCGGTCGCGGTCGCTGGCATCGGCTGCGTCGCCTGCGCGGGGGGCGGAAGGGTGGCGCCAACGGCAACATGCGACACCTCAGCCGTTTAGGGACCGAGCAGCAAGCTTGCGTGCCCTTTCAAAGCAGGATGCGGGATGTGATGAGCTGGTCAGTGGCGAACTTCGACCTCAACGAGATTCGCTAAGCGGCCTACGTCTCATCTCGCTTGACCAGCATGGCTCGCGAGCGCGTGGACGAGTGGCACCCAGTGCCGCTTATGACCTACCTCGCGCACAGCTCGGCCGAACCGTGGGGCCAGCTTGGAGAGGGGGGGCGCACGCAGGCGGCGTCGGTTCTGATGAGCTCCGGCCGCTTGTCGTAGGACCGCATCGAGAACCTCCCTTGCCAGCAGCAGGCCAGTCAACTCGCGATCGCCCACGAGAGCCATGACGAACGCACCGCAGCTGCAGATTTGGACATCTGATCGAAGGCTCGCCGGGCAAATATGCCTCAGCCACGCATTCGCCCCATCGCCGCGCTCTCCTCGCGGGCCCGCCCATGCACGATCAGGATCAGAGCGCCTATGGCACTGGAGCTGGATCGAGCTGGGATGGCACGGGCCCGTCCGCCCTTGTAGCGGCACCGGGTCCGCCCACAGCGCCAGCTGCCGCCTGCGCCAGCGCGTCAGCAACAGCGCAGGCGGCATATCCAGCAGCAGGGTTCGACTCCGGCACCGACTCCGACACCATTTGCTCGCTCGGCGAATAGATCGTTGCGGACGCCGCGAACTTCGCGAAGTTTCAATGGCACATCGCGGCGCTCGCCTCTTCTGGGCCGCCCTGCGCGGCAAGTCCCGACGGCGCCGTTTCTACGCTGACAAGCCCACGCTCCGCGCTCGGAGGGTCAAGCGCAGGGGCAACGGCCGCGGAAAAGGGCCACCGCGCCACCTTGGCCGACTTGTCTGACGACGAGCTCCAAGAAACATTCGGCGGCTTTGGAAAAGGCAGGGGCAAGGGTCAGGGCGAGCATCGGACCAGCGGGCTGGGATTTGGCCGACTGGGCCCAGGCGGGACACGTCTGGAGTGCCACGAACGCGACTCCAGGGGAGCACCTCGTGCGCGACTGCCCCCGTCGGCGCCAACAAGGGCGCGCCCTCTTCATCGATGCCCCAGCTTCAGCAGCATCGCCGCCGCCGACGCATTCTCACGCCCCTAGGGCACCGCGGAGCGCC